CGGGCCCCGCCCCGGCCCCGGGCCCCGCCCCGGCCCCGGGCCCCGCCCCGGCCCCGGGCCCCGCCTCCTCAATGTTAAGGCGGGAAAGCGAGAGCGCTCCTAGAAGCTCTCTGCCTTTCTCTCTGCTCCGCTTCTTCCAACACACATGAGTGTACACAAAAAGTTTGTTAAATTGAATTTTTTGTGCCTGCTGCGACCTTATTGTACCCGTATACCTGTTGACTAAACGTAAAAGAGTCAGTGAAAAGAAAACGACCACAGTGAGTTGGGAATTGTTCCTTTTGAACTGTATTTAGGTTTAGGTTTCTAGTAAAATTTCTGTTTCCTGACCTTGAAGTTTCTTTGCATTTAGAAACCTCCCCAATTCCTCTACTCTGTGGGTTTTTCAGCTGTTCTCTTTGCAAAGTAACACTGTGGGAGAGATTAGCCCCTAAGCTACTAATAAAGTGTTTTTCTCCGAAGTTGTTGCTGTCAGAAGTGGAGATGGAAACGGATCGTCTCTCTTGCTATAGAAATAGAATAAAAATATTTTGATTATGATACCAGAGGGCTTTCAAATAAAAAATTCCTCTTCAGGAGTTGCCTTAGCAGAGCTGTGAAAAAGGCTACAACCATAGAAGCGAAAGGCGGCAGACAACTATCACTGTGTTGAATTGTGAATTTAAGTTTAACTGTTTTCTCCATTTCTTCTCAGAGAGCCCTCCCTCCCCACTAACCTAAGAAAAAATCATTGTGTTCATGCCACTGTGCTAGCACTTTACTCACAACCCAGTGTTTATTTACAAATAACCTGTGGGATGGATAGTTTGTATTCAATTGCTGGTGGGGAAGCCAGCTAAGACTCTAGGCAATGCGTTAAATTCTGCAACTGGGACACAGTTCTGATCTGAAGGACACCAAGGTCTGAACTGGTAACAGTATTCTTATCTGTTGTCCTCTGGATCTACCTGTCATAGGGGTTTTAGAGATCTTTGCTTATTTGCTTCTCAACCATCAAAATAACCTTTTCTGTTTCTCTCTCCATTTAGAGCCTGCTCACTGTTAAATGAAAAATCTGATAAATCCTTTCTGAACACCAGCACCTCAGTTGGTTAAGCATGGGCCTTGGGTTCAGGTCATTGTTCTGGGATTCTGGGATCCAGCCCAACTTTGGGCTTCCTGTTCAGTGGGGAGTCTGCTTCTCCCTCTCTCTCTGCCCCTCTCCTCTGCTAGTACTCTCTCTCTCTCTCAAATAAATAAATAAAATCTTAAAGAAAGAAGGGAAGGAAGGAAGGAAGGAAGGAAGAAAAAGAAATCCTTCCCCATTTATTAGTAAGCACTTATCGTGGTATCCTTCCCAGGCAGCATGTCTGTTAACTCTCATAATGGAAATTTCAAGTTGTGTTACAGATTACTATGGAACGTCCTGAAGGTCCCATAGAATTTTAAGTAGTAGCTAAGTCAACCATTTCTCAGAACAAGGAAAAAAGGAAGTTAAATCATCATTACATAAATGTTGAACAAAAATCCATTAATAACATTGGTGTAATTTAATCTACTTTTAGGCAATATTTAATCTATGTAAAACTGAATGTAGAAACATAAATCAATGGTTCTCAAACTTTTTGGTCTTTATAGAACCCTTTACTTTCCTATAAATTATTGAGGATCCCAAGCAACTGTTGTTGATGTGTATTATACATATCAATACTTAACATGTTAGAAATTAAAATTTAACATATTAGAAATTAGAATTAATATTTAGTCATTACAAATAATAAACCCATTATATGCTGATATAAATAACATTTTTATGAATAATAATAACTATATTTTCCAAAAAACATAGAAGAGAAACATGGTTTTACATTCCTGAAAATTTTTTTAATGTCCAGGATATAGAAGAAAGCTAATTTTCATATCTTTTATTCATTGATTTTTTTTTTTTTTTAAGATTTTGAGAGAGAGAGAGGGGCATCTGGGTGGCTCAGTGGGTTAGGCCTCTGCCTTCAGCTTAGGTCATGGTCTCAGGGTCCTGGGATCGAGCCCCACATCAGGCTCTCTGATCAGCAGGGAGCCTGCTTCCCCCTCTCTCTCTGCCTGCCTCTCTGCCTACTTGTGATCTCTCTCTCTGTCAAATAAATAAATAAAATCTTTTTAAAAATTTAAAAAAAAAAAAGATTTTGAGAGAGAGAGATGGAGATAGCGAGAGAGTGCACAGGGAGGGAGGAGAGAGAAAACAGACTCCCTACCAAGCAGAGAGCCCGATGCGGGGCTTGATCCAGGACTCTGGCATCATGACCTGAGCTGAAGGCAGACATTTAATCGACTGAGCCACCCAAGCACCCCTAATCTGTTTCAGTACACATATCATGTAGCCTCTGGAAAACTCCACTGTACACTCAGAGAATGAGAGTGATAAAGGCAAATAACAGCTTAATATTATGAGGAAAAAAAGTCTTGACCTTATGGATCACCAGAAAGGGTTTTAGAAACCCCAGGACTCCTTGGACCATGCTTTGAGAACCACTGTGTCATACCATGCAAACGTTAGCTACTATTTTCTTTTTGTCTAGCCGTATTGGCAACAAGTAGAACATTTAGTGAAAAGAGGAATAAAACAGAGAAATTTGTAGACTAGCGCAATCATAAATGTGAGCATTCTTTCTTCATTTTCCAGAAGCATAGAGTAAATTAGAATTCAAGGTTATAATTGAACACAGCCACTTCTGCATTAGAAATCAGCCCACCGATCCAATATTGTCTTTCAGCCTGCTGTGCAAAGTATTTCCTCTCACATGAATATAGAATATCCCTAATGTGGGTTTGTATTCCATGCACAAACTAGATATTAAGACTAATAAAATTTGAAGTCAGAATTCTTTTCATAAGTATATATCAAATGCCTACTATATCCGGGGCTCATAATAGGTACTGGACTTACAAAAATTTGTAAGCACAGTTCCTGCCCTTGAGCAGCTTATTTATATAATGAGACTTAAATCCTGGTATAAATGTATTTTTTTGCCATGTCCAATAGTTCCCAAATCAGCTTAATGATCAAATGTCTCAGAATTATCTGAGGAGATTTTTAAAATACAGATTCCTGGATCATGGGATAATACTGAAGTGGACCAGGGTGGGGCTCAGGAATATTTATTTATTTATTTATTTAAAAAAAGATTTTATTTATTTATTTGACAGAGAGGCCGAGATCGCAAGTAGGCAGGGAGGCACGCAGAGAGAGAGAGAGAGGCAGGCTCCCCGCTGAGTGGGGAGCCTCATGCGGGACTTGATCCCAAGACCCTGAGACCATGACCTGAGCTGAAGGCAGAGGCTTAACCCACTGAACCACCCAGGCGCCCCAGGAATTTGGATTTTTAAAAAGTGACCAAGGTAGTTCCCATGCAATGAGAAATACATGCATCAAACAAATGAATTTGGTCTTTGCCCCAGTGCTATCACACATAAAATACAATCTCTTTATTTCATCTTCCGAAAGTATGTCATTGTTGAAAGATCCCTGTTATCAAGACAGTACATATTTAATTTCAGTTAAAATAGAAGTTGAGGTACTTATTTCAAACATTTTATAGTTCATTTGCCTTTATCACATAAAAATAATAATGTGAGATATTACCACAGCAGCTTTCCACACATCACACCACTGTAAAAAGCAAAACATCTTTTGCAACAAGCATCTGACTGAAGAAAGTGTTACTTTATGGAGCTTTGATTCAATTTCTTTAAAATGAATTCAGTGAGATATCCCATGTTTCATTACACTTCTCTTCAGGGTTTCACAGATTATGTTATAGTATTTCAAACCCTATGCAGTCTTCCATCACAAATTTATTCTGATGATACATTATATTCCAATAGCTATCTAGAGACCTAAGGTCCATAGTTGCTGTTATAGTGAGTGTTCTTTGCTAATAATTGCAGCCAGAATTAATTAAATTTAAGTAGATAAGAAAAATCCAAAAAGCAAGCTTAAGTTTCTTCTTTTTCTTACCACAAAGGGAAAAAAAGGAAATAGCTAAATCAGCCATAAATATGATGATTTGTACAAATCTATATGTATTCCTTTTGATTTATGATCAAAACTAACTTCAAATTAAAGGTTCCCTGCCCAGATCTTAATTTTTAAATACCTGTCCCCATGAAAAGTAACCAGGGCTTCTTAGAAAAACAGCTGATTTCAGGGCTAGGGCAGGAAGGTACAAGAAATGAGGAATCCAGGGGTGCCCTGGGGGGCTCAGTTGGTTAAGTGTCCGCCTTTGGCTCAGTTCAGGATCCCAAGGCCCTCAGACTGAGTCCCACATCGAACTCCCTGCTCAGTGAGGAGTCTGCTCCTCCTTGTCCCTCTACCCCTCCTCCAACTTGTGCTTGCTCCCTCTCTTTCTCCCTCACTCTCTCTCTCAAATAAATAAATAAAATCTTCTTAAAAATTGAGGAATCCAGAAATAAGGAACACTCAGAAAATAAAATGGGGACATGTCAACAAGAGTCCGCTTAAAGGGCCTTTCCTTGGCCAAATCTGGGATAACTTGAGTATCAAA